AGTGTGAGTGTAAGGGAACTGGACTCGTGTGTTGAGGGAGAGAGTGTGCTCTCCACGGACATTGGTTTTCAGTGCTACGAAACTCCATTGGTGTATTATTGGTGCAATGCTGCTATCTGGACACGGTGTGACTATTTGACTTGCAATGTGATGGTGTGATCTGGGATTGTCATCTCACTGTTGCTTATTTTTCCTTGCATTCTTCTTCTTCTTATTATTATTATTATTGTAAAATTATAATATTATTATTATTATAGTTCTATTTAGTATGTCATGTTCAAGAATGTGAAACTCTGTCAAACATCACGCAGGGGGGGGGAGGGGAAGCGCATGAGAATTGCCCTTATTATTAGTATTATTGTTTTCTTAATGATTATTTGATTTTTATTATTATGTTTTGTCATGCCGATGCCGATGCCGATGCCGATGCCGATGATGGTGTGAATTGGAACAGCCTGCAGACAAATATGCCAACGGGTCGTTGAGAAATGAGGCGACGGATGAGCATGGTGGATCTGAGCTGGACGGTCCTGGAAAGACCGGAGCCAGCAGCAGCGCGCCTACGACTCCCAAAATCGACTCGTCAATGCCGACGCCTGCTCCTGCTCCTGCTCCTGCTCCTGCTCCTGGTGCAGAAACTGAACCTGGCCAAGGTCTCGACCAGGTTCTTCCTCCCCCGATGCAACCTGGTTTGGCTGAGCTATCCTTCTCACCCCCCCCTGTACCTGTCGCCACGCCATCGCCGGTTCCCTTAATCCAGGAACATCATCCAAATGACTCCACACCACCAGCACAGGTTTCCGTTCCTGGTCCAGAAAACCAGGAACATCCAAATGCCGCCGCACCACCAGCAGAGGTTTCCGTTCCTGGTCCAGAAAACCAGGAACATCCAAATGCCACCGCACCACCAGCAGAGGTTTCTGTTCCTGGTCCAGATGGAGTGAACAGCTCAGAGTCGGACGATGTCATCATGCCAGTGAAGGAGAGTGATAGGGATGACACTGGAACTGAAACCGGGACCGGAACTGAGACCGGAACTGGAACTGAGACCGGAACTGGAACTGTAGCTGAGACTGGTAGCAGAACTGGAACTGAGAATGGGACCAGAGCTGGAATTCAGAATGGAACTGGAACTGGTACTGGAACTGAGATTGGGACCGGAACTGGAACTGAGAGTGGAATTGAGAGTGGGACTGAGACTAGCACTGGAACTGCAGGAGACAGTAGACCTGATTCTGGACAAGGCGTTGGACCAGGTGCTGCCATGCCTCCGACACGTCACAGTGATTTTGGGTTCCCAAATGCTACCCCTCCAAGCGGAGAAGCGTTGCAGACCAACGTCGGGCCTCCGGAATCGCAATCGCATCCTCCAGCCATTGACGTAGTCTCACCCCCCCGAGCCCCAGGTGATCTTATGTCCTCCGATTCTTTTTCCAACAAATTCTCTCTCTCTCTCTCTCTCTCTCTCTCTCTCTCTCTCTCTCTCTCTCTCTCTCTCTCTCTNTCTCTCTCTCTCTCTCTCTCTCTCTCTCTGTGTGTGTGTGTGTGTGTGTGTGTGTGTGCGTGTGTGTGAAGTGTTGTGCAACTTGTGCTATCTGCTCACCTTTTTTTTTTTTTCCCCGCGGGATGTAGAGGATTTCTTGTGCTTCTCCTCGATCCCCAAAATTTGAAATCACAGGTGTGCAAGTGACCTTGTTTCATTATAGTCCGCCATAAATTTCAGAAAGCCGTTGTGGAGGCATATGAAGCCATATCTTCACACAAATGGCAGTTGATATGTCAGCCCGGCGCCCGCTACTTCCTTTTTTTTTTTTTTAATTCCTTCTTCGTCAATGACTAGTCTTTTACAGATTGCTCCATTGACATTGCTGCTACTGATTTGGTACCACTGTTGCCGAGTGGGGACCACCGTTGCCGAGTGGGGACCGCCGTTGCCGAGTGGGGACCGCTGGTGCTGAGTTGGTACCACTGTTTCATGACAACTGGTCCGAAGAACAAGAAGGAACTACAATCTTCTGCCGAATAGAACGCATGGTCATTATCCCTACAGGTATCACGTATATAGACTGAATGTTGCCCCAAATCCGGTTATAAACTTATAATTACTGTGTGTGTTCTCTTTGAGCGGAGATGGGACCCCACTTTGGTACCAACCAACTTGGCACCACAGGAGTTCAGAATTGCCTCCCTCCCCAATGGGCGGGAGCCTCTCAAGGGACAATTCCGTTATTCTCCACAAAGGCGGAGGGGGCGAAGAGAGGGCGGCGAACATAAGAGGTTGCTTCGCCCTACCTCTTTCACATACGCTGGGGACAGCGGAGAAGCTGCTGGAGGTTTCGCAGATATGCCCATCCTGAAGAGGAAGAAGACAAATAGACTGTTGAGGGTTCAGCCTCCTGATGAGTCAGTGAAACTCCGACGAAACAGTTTGCCACAGCCCCTTGTTTGTTGTCCTCTTCTCTCTCTCTGCCTACGGTTTACCGGGCAGTTCTGTATATTTATATATATATCGTCACAAACAGAACTGCCCGGTAAAACCGTAGGCAGAGAGAGAGAAGAGGACAACAAACGAGGGGCTGTGACAAACTGTTTCGTCGGAGTTTCACCGACTCATCAGGAGGCTGATATATATATATATATATATATATATATACCGTCACAAACAGAACTGCCCGGTAAACCGTAGGCAGAGAGAGAGAAGAGGACAACAAACGAGGGGCTGTGGCAAACTGTTTCGTCGGAGTTTCACCGACTTGTCAGGAGGCTGAACCCTCAACAGTCTGCAGAATCCCCTCACTGATTATATATATTCCCTAATCAGTGTCATATATATATTACATTATTTATAAACTGTACTCGTGTCTCAACCAGAAATTTCGCAGAAAAAAACTCGCAGATATGCCCATCCTGAAGAGGAAGAAGACAAGATCAGTGTCATATATATATATTACATTATTTAAAAACTGTACTCGTGTCTCAACCGGAAATTTCGCAGAAAAAAACAATTTAAACAATTGACAAAAAATGTTTCCTTCGCCTTCGAAAACCCTAAACCATCCACGCCACCCTATGGTGAAAAAAAAATAAAATCAAATTTGCTTCCTTGGGTTTGAATTTTGAAATTTTGAGAGTTTGAAATTTTGAAATTTTGAAATTTCAGATTTCCAACTTCGAATTTCGGATTACCTCCTTGGATGTGAAATTTCCAATTTCGAGTGTCGCCTTGGATTTGAAATTTGAAATTTGAAATTTACCACCTTGGATTTGAAATTTCGAAATTTACTCCTCGGGTTTGAAATTTCAAATTTGCCCCGTTCGCAAATTGTTTGAAATTTTGTCTTTCGGGATATATAGATATACATAAAACAATGGAACGATACACAGAAAGAATATTAGCATCACACCTGCGCAAGGATGACGGACACGCATAACTTGAGAAATTGGTCGCACAAAAAATAATAATAATAAACATTTCAAGGTCCCCCCCCCCCCAAAAAAAAAAAGAAGGATTCGGCAGTTAGGAAATTTTCGAATTTGCCCCCTTGGGTGAGCCTGCTCTCATGGAGGTCCATACGTGCTGACGTTGCCAAGGTATTTGCACACAAACATGGCGAGGGTGACATACGTGGGCCCTTGAGAGTATCACAACTACAATTTTCACCCCAATTGAAGCAAAGCAAATGACAACAATCCCTCTGTCACTGACAGCAGAAAATAACCTACTAATTTTTTAAAGCTCTTTTTTTTTTTTTTTTTTTTTTTTTTTTT